TGCTCCAGGTCCCAGACACCCGGGCACGCTCCAGGAGTCACCAGCTGGAATGCATAGCTAAGCAGGAGGGCAGTGTCACTGACTAGGGCCGGGGACATGGGACAGAGAAACTGACCGTGCCCTGGGAACGGCAGAGGTTCCAGAGGGGGGCAAAGTTCCTAGGCTCAGGGAGGGGCAGAGAGGGAGGCCCCAGAGCTGAAGCTGTGCACACACTCCAGGGGCCCAAATGTGGGCTGGCCAGAAGGGAGCCTGGGGGCAAGCCTGCGGCCAGGGCTGAGGGTCCCAGGACGGACCAGCTGAGCTGTGGGGAAACTTCCAGAAGCAAATTGAGGCCGCGGATGGGAGCTGAGCTGATGGTGGCTGTGGGAAGGGTCAGGGAAGAGGAACATCCGGAAGGCACGGGCAGGAGGACCCAAGTGTGCGAGGACCTCTGGCTTTAGGACTTCATAATGAACAAGGCTCTGGTTTGTGTTGGGACAGCTGGAAGAGCTGTGACCCAAGGCATCCTGCCCGCCCTTCCAGGACATCTGAGGTGGGCTGGGGACTCGCCCTCAGGGGCCCACGCCTGGGGGTTGGCCGCTCTCAGTGACCTCGGAGAGAGGCCACGCTGGTGTTCCTGAGTCAGACGGCAGAGGGCGCCCCAAGGCCTCCTAACAGGAGCCTCTGCGGCGCTGGCTGGGCAGGATGCACCCTAGGCTCCACCTGGTTCAGGTGAGGACAGAGGACAGGCAGAAGGCTCCCAAGCCAGCCACCTGGCTTGCTCCCCACCAACACTGCTGGCAGAGGCCGCAGCGCCCCTTAGCCGAGTTAGCCTGGAGGTAGACCTTGTCCACTGTGTCCACCAAGGCCCATCTTGTGCAAGCAGAGCTTCTCACTACAGGCAGGTGGGACCTTTGGAGGCCTCTGATGCATCCACAGGGAGAATCCTGTGCAGGGCAAGGTCAGGGGCTGGGGGAGCAGGGGGCCCAGGCTGCACCTGGCCCCGGTATAATAGCATCCTGCCTTTGGAGACTGGGGGCTGAAATCCCAGCTACTGAGCAGCTCTGCAGGTGGTTCTGATGTGCAGTCAGCATTAAGAACATCTGCTTTAGACAGTGGCTCCCACAGCCTGGCCCTGAACCTGCTTAGCACCCTTGGTAACATGGCAGATGTGCAGAGTCCCAGGCCTGGCCCCGAGCTGTGAGGCAGGACTCTAAGAGGTGGGGCCCAGCCAGCTGCTAACGTGTGCCCTACAGGCGATTCTGACAGTCCCAGGTCGAGAACCTGCTCATGCCTCGAGATCCTAAATGTGCTCTGGGGGCCAGCAGCATGGGCATCTCTCGGGAGCTTGTTAGGAATGCAGATTCCCAGGCTCTCCCCCAACCTGCTGAATCAGCACCTGCATTTAACAGGATCCCTGGGCGATGTGTATGTCATGTGAGGACCGTTGCTCTAGGGATCCCACCGAGCAACAGCAATATGCCAATATGAGGCTGGCTGTGCCGAGCCCCAATGAGTGGCACTGTGGGAGGGCTGCCGGGGGAGGGGGGGAGGGGCCCTTGTCCGCGGGCAGAGGAGTTGGCCTCCGAGGTGGGGCCCTCCAGGTGGGGCCCTCCAGGTGGGGTCCTCCAGGTGGGGCCCTCCAGGTGGGATCCTCCAGGTGGGGCCCTCCAGGTGGGGTTCTCCAGGTGGGGTTCTCCAGGTGG